CACCTCACGTACAAGGCATTTCAATTACCAAATATACCAAATCCTAAGGGGAAGGTCCCCCACACAAGGTTAGGCAAGCCACTTACCTCGAACTAGCTCAAAATCAACTCGAAATCATGTTCTTGCCATGAGTATTCGACTCCAAATGGCCCAACTCTATTCAATTCAATTTGCATAATGTAAATAACACTTCAAGTAACTGATTCTACAATTAAATTCTAAGCTAATACGCGAAATTAAATAAAATAACCAAAATGCCCTCGGGTCCACATTTCAGAATCGGGTAAAATTTATATTTTCAGAATCCTCACTCTCTCACGAGTTAATGCATACCAAAATTATCCAAATCTAAGGTCAAATTCCCAATCAAAAGTCAAATTTTAGGTCCAAGAACTTTCTTCCAACTTTTCTCCAATTTTTCACCTCCAATTCGAAATCAAATGATGAAACTAACTATAGATTGATGGAAGATAACTAGAAATGGTTAAATAATTGTTATTCAATGATCTCCTCTTCAATTTCCTCTCAAAATCGCCCTCTCCCGAGCTCCAAATCGAATTTCCAACTTTTGAAACTAACCCCTCGAAATTTCATATTTCTGCCCAGCTATTACCACATCTGCAGTCAAGGGACCGTATCTGCAGTCCCGCTTTTGCGGAATAATGACTGCACCTGCGACCTTTCACTTAAGACCAGCTTCCGCATCTACGACTCCCCATCCGCAGATGCGGTACCGCTTCTGAAAAAATTCTACCGCTTCTACGGCTCATGCTTAACCTCCCCATTTCTACTTCTGCGACCATAGAGCCACTTCTGTAGTGCCACACCTGCGGTCCCACACTCGCAGGTGCGGTTATGACAGAAAACCAGCATCTGAAGCTGCAACTCCAAACTTCAAAATCTTTCCGTCAACCATCCGAAATTCTCCCAAGGCCCCCAGGACCTCAACCAAAAGCACCAACAAGTCTAATACCATTGTTCAATCATAACCAATCCTTCAAACACCTAAAACAACATTGAAACGACGAATCAACCACGAATTCAAGCCTAAGAACTCCAAAACTCTAGAAATACGCTTTCGATCAAAAAGTCTATCAAACCTCGTCTGAATGACCTGAAATTTTGCACACACATCACGTTAAACTCTACGGAGCTACTCCAACTTTTGGAATTCCATTACGACCCTCGGATAAAAATCTACTATCGGACCGAAAATTTCAAAATTTGACCTTTCGGCATTTCAAGCCTAAATTAGCTACGGGCCTCCAAAACACAATCCGAACACGCCCCTAAGCCCGAAATCACCAAACGGAGCTAACGGAATCATCAAATTTCCATTCTAAGGCCGTCTTTATACTGCTCTGATTACGGTCAAATTTCCAACACTTAAACTCTCATTTAGGGACTAAGTGTCCCAAAACTCTCCGAAACTCAAAACCGAACATCCTGGCAAATCAAAATAGCAGAAAAAAACATGAGGAAAACAGTTAATAGGGGATCAGGGCGTAAATTCTTAAGACGACCGACCTGGTCGTCACACAAACTATTCTAGTTGTCGAGAATAGAAGGGAGTTGGGTGGAGAAATATACCATCGCATCAAGCGCGTCACTGAAATTGAGAAAGACAAATGGTGGGGTAACAAGATTGAAAGCATATTGCTATGGATAGGGTATGAATCCGGCAAGGGTCTCGGTAAGAATATCCGAGGGATTACCAAGCTGGTACAGTTAAAGTGCCATGGTAAGACTTTTGGACTTGGATATCAGTACACCTGATAGGGGTACAATGATTGGTCGCCTCCATGGCGTGGTCCTTATTACCCTCTTAAACGGGACCAATACCGCATTTGCACCAGACATTTCAATAAACTGACATGATATGGGGATCTGAAGAAAATGAAGATTTAGCCGGCCTAAGGAACCTATTTTTGGATGATGAAGACATGAATTGCAGTGCAATAGTTGAGGAGGAGGAAGACCTTATAATTAAGACCATGGGAAAATGAGATATTCTCAAGAACTGGACTGCTACATCGTCCCGGGCCCGTCGAGTTCCTGGGTAGCTTGGCAATTAGCATGATATATTTTAAAAAAAGCAATTTTAAGCATTTAAGACATTTTTAGTATTTTGTTTTGAACGTATCTTGTTTTGAAATAATTGCTCGAGTCATCGAGCCGTACTTATTTGATGTTTTCAAGATTTATTTAATGCATTGCTATTTTAGTATTCATTATTATCCTTTACATTTCTCTATAACATTATTATTATTTATCCTAATGAACCAACAACTGTGACATGTAATGCGACAACACAATATAAGGATAGTGATTCAGAGGAAATAGAAGAAGAAGATATAATACCTGAAGAAATTGTTAGAGAAGTGGAAAATTTTGAGAACAAGCCTAAGTCTAATCTAGATAAAATCGAGATAGTCAATTTAGGAAATTCTAAAACAGTCAAGGAAACCCGTATAAGTATTCACCTATCACCATCAGAGAAAGAAGAATACATTCAGTTCCAGAAAGAGTATGAAGACATCTTTGCATGGTCTTATGATAATATGACCGGTCTGAGAACATCTATAGTGGCTCATAAGTTACCCACCGATCCCATGTGCTCACTAGAGAAACATCGGCATCTTATCCAAAGGAGTCATAGTCCTATGGCGTCATCCTCATAGCCTGAAGACACCATGTCATGTCCTAAGGATCTCTCAATAGTCATAGTTCAGAGGCACCATTTTCATGGCCCGAGAACATCATTTCATGGCCTGTGAATCCCTTATCTCACGATTCATGGCCCAGGACCTCATGGTCCAAGGACATCATCCTCACCATCCAAAGACAACCTTCATGGTCCAAAGGGAATTTCCATCATGTTTAAATTCTTGCAATAATCCATATATATTTGCATGCATCGTGTTTTAAGTTTTACAGGTAATCTAGGAAGTAACTGTTCTTTAAACGAGAGCAATCTTCGCTCTGGTTTTCGTTCATAACGTTCACATCCTACAATTATTTCAAAACGTAACCAACCATCATCAATTCCCGCTTCTTACTCTATGACCGTTCAAATATTTTCTCATTGACATAGCCATAACGTTTCAAATTCATATTCATGACTTCGCATAAATTCATCCAATACTATCCTGCCCAAAAGAACCCTTTCCGAAACATTTGATCATTCCTATAACAACTCCATCGGTTTCGCTCACTGTTAGATCTAGAACTATACATGGCATGATTCTCGTAACACCAGGGATATGTAGGCAACTCGGGAACAAGGGTTCGACCCGCATTTTTCTAAATCACATCATCCCACATTCAATTCGGCCAAAATTGGTCATTATTGTTTTTACCCGATAATTCTTTCATCATTTCCGGGTAAAGATAGGCAGCTGTTGATACCCAATTTTGCCCTCATATTTTTCCAAAATATATATAGACTCTCAAAACATCAATTGCACATCATTATTTAGTTTACAAATCTATATAAGCATTTTCTATAATTATCTATAATTTTTATAGCTTTTAAATTGATTTTCCTACATTTAAATTACTCGAATAATTATTAATTATTCCTTCAAATTATTTTTGGGATGACTCAATTGCCTAAAATCATTATCTTTGCATCTATAATATTTGCTTCAGATATTTTACTCTTTTTTAATAATTACATTAGTATTTTAGGCTACTTGCACAATCTTGCAATAATATCCTATATTTTACATTTTTATTGCATTTGTCATTTTACTCAGGGGTCAAAATCATATGCTACATTTTTATAATTTTCTACTATTATTTTAAAATATTACTTTGCATAAAGGTCATTTTTTATAATTTATTTAATTGATTTATTATATTATTTCCCCCTAATTTTCTATTTTTAAACCTGGCCCCAAATTGGTATCAATTTCGGACCAAAAATCCCAAATTTCTGGCCCAACCCCCTAAGCCCAATCCAAACAACCACAATTCCCAACCCAGTCCAAAAAGCCAGCCCAACACTTCTCAAATCCCAGCCGTTGATCAAAAGTGATCAACGACTCATAACATTTCCCCCATTTCGCTTATAACCCAACCCCTAAACCTAGAGACACATTGTCTCTGTTCAGCCGCCCTCAAACGCTCCTCACCCCACCCAAAATTCTAATCGCCACCTATCCAAATCTTCACCTAATCCGATCAACAATGGGATTCCCCCATTATTTACTTACCATACTGGTGCTCTTCCCCTACTGGGTGTTTCTCCATGATGTTACTTAGTACTTGCCTAAACATGGCAAGTACTATCTCTCCGATTCTGCTCGTTCACTTCAACCATTTGAATTATTTAGTCCATACAGCATGACCATGGCTATAATTTAACTTTGCTATGTCTACTTTAAGCTTTGCTATGTCTACTTTAAGCTATGCGAGTATTTTCTCAACTTCTGGCCCTTAACCGTTATCCACTCTCTCTCATTTGTTACCTATGCTATTCTGAACCTATCATTCTTAGCCGGCTGAAAGTCAAGGACACCAAGGCTCTTACTACTGACCTCCCTAGTATGAGCACTGCTCAGGGTCCATTCGAGATCCTTGCAAACTTTGACACACTGGGATTTGAGGTCCTTTAGTCATTCCCTCTACTACTGAGATCTGCACTATTCCTAACACTCAACTCTTTCTTCCTATGGTCTACTGAATATGTAAATTGGTTGGTTAATCTATGGTCGTGTGATCTAGGTTAAGTTCTTCTATGGATTCTAGGTTGTGCTTAGGGTTATTCAAAACCGAACCAAAAATTGAAGCTTAATGGCTTATTGGTATCAGGTTAACGGTTTAATGGACGGGGAATAGATTAAAATTTTTTCATTAACGGCTTATCGGTTTGGGGGAGGATTATTCAATTTTCTTAACGTATAATCCGTTAATATATATAAAATTTATTTTTATCCATATATATATATATATATATTAAATATCAAAAACCCTTCCACTTTAGTCTTCCATTCTTCCAGTACTCTATCTCTAAGTTCTAACGCCTAATTCCTAAATAATCAGAACATAAACCCTAACGCCTACTCCATCTCGTCCTCTCGCCACCATCTCCCTCTCCCTCTCCCCATAGCTACCATCTCCCTCTCGCCGACTCGCCATAGCCAGATCAGCAGTCAGCAGATGGTAAGTTTCTTTTCTTGTTGATGTCTTTAAAATCAAAGAGCATCTCAAATTCTCAATTCTCATTAGAATTCTTAGTGCCCTAGTATGAAGAGTAAACTCATATTTTTTCTTTTTAAAATTGTAAATATGGCTCCAGCACAGCCTTTGTGTCGATTATTAATATATTGTTACCTTACTAAGAGAAATGAACAAGAAACAAAGGGAATGAACAACTTCGTTTGAGCTATGAATAAATTAATAAAAGCTTAGATACCATTATATTTAATGAGCTAAACTACTGAAATTCTTCCTTTGCATCTAAACCCAGGCAATCACATAGTTATCTCAATGAAATTTGATATCCTTGTATGATCTATGTTATAGCTAGCAAGAGTTACAGTGGCATATCCATTAGAACTACTTTTTCCTTAATTACATCATACCATAGTTGCAAATGACTAATTTGTTAAACAACTCATACATGGCTTCTATAAATATCTGTTAAGCAACTTGTTATTCTCATTACTTTGCAGTGACTCATTATTTTAAATTTTTTCTTCAGATTTAGCTAGCAATGGAAAAGACCCTTCCTTAATTGACGTGTAGTGTTAATATATCTTGTAAGAACTCGAATTTAACCCATCAAGGCTTCAAGTGTTGAATCTTACTGTTTTGTTGGGGTCTGAATCTTATTGTTTTGTTGTTATATCTGAATGTTATTATTTGTTTGTTTACTGTAAAAGTTGGTTTTCATAGGAAAGAGAAAAGTTATTTTATGAATAACCATTTGAATTTCAAGGTTATGTATCACGAGGATCTTGAGACGGGCACTGCTCGTGTTGTTGGTTTTGAGGTTATTCCCCTCAAGTTTGAACAACTTTCAAGCTTTCACTACTTGAATGAAAGTTGTCTTAAACCACTTCCCTTCTCTTTCTCATTTTTCTTTGACCTCTTTTCTGTTGTTCTCTTTTGTGAAACGATTATTAGGCATTCATAAATAGAATTAGCTTTGCATGCTTAGTGATGTTTTCAGAATGTGCAGTGGCAGTGTTCTCTTGTAACTGGTACATCAGTTTATTGTTGTTATAGGACATTCTGGTTTCGTGATGCAGCATTCAACTCTACGCTTCTGCTGGTTTATCATAATTTCATGGCCTGTTTAGCAGTTCTCATAGTTTGTACTTGCTCAAGTTTGTGCACTTATTTGAGATATAGAAGTGTTCAAGGTTTTCCAGTGTCTAATTTGACTATGTTTCCATGTAATTTGGATCCAGACATTCAGTAAGTAATAACAAAAGTCCTATAGATTAATTGGCCCTGATCTTTCATTGCATTGGCAACCTTGCATGATAAAATTTGAAATGTGGATTGGGGATGCACTTAATTCTGCAGTTTCTCTTAGAAAATAGAAACGAGGATAAATCTGTTCGACTCTTCTTATTGCCTCAAGACCGTAGTATTTATCAGTCTTTACTTCGTTGCCTAATGCTGAAATTTGGTGTATGCATATTTTTTACAGGGATCTGCTTACTTATGGATTAAGCTGTTGTTTGAACTTTGAAGCTGTAGAAATTCAAGCACCGTTTGGCATTAGCTGAAGGCCAAACATTTCTGTGTAGTCTGCTCACTTATGGATTAATCATTTTGAAATATGTATTCTGGACTCACTTTGAATATAGACTGAAATTTCCTATTCTTAATTTGTATGCTAGGTGTTAACAGACATATGTATGTCTGGACTCATATGTAATGTAGTCTGCTTTGGGATGTAATATTGTAATGATAGGCGTTACAAACGTATGTATGTCTGGACTCATATGTTAACGCCTATGAGTAGTGACGTTGAAGTTATATAATATATTGTTGATTTAAGGTAGTGAACTTTTCTTCCTGGGTAACAAATGGGTTCTCTGAAATCTGTGTAGTCTACTCAATATTGTTGATTTAACATATTGGATGTAATGTAGGCGTTAACAGACATATGTATGTCTGGACTCATCTGTAAATTCCTGTTCTAAATTTGTATGCTAGGCGGTCAACAAATAATTAATGCACACAATATAGATTGAATTAGGACGATAAACTGCCCGATTAGAGCTAAACCGATACCAATCCACTCGATATCTTATCGGGTGGCTAGCGGATTAATACATTTAAAAGCCGATAACCGATAAGCCAAACCGTTAAGAGTAAATAACCGCCCAATCCGTCCGATAAGCAGCCCTAGTTGTGTTGATGAATATGGTTCCTGGGTATGCTGCGTGAGAGTTATTGAAGGCCCAGACAATGCTGGGTGTCTCTTTTTGGTCCTGCTATGGGCCTACCGTTATTATTTGTACAATACTTGTAGTTATATTTATTATTGGGCCTGTGATAATTTTGTCATGAACAACTGGGTGTTAGTAAAAAATGGGGAATGAGTAGATTCTAATGTTTGCATGAAACGGGTAAAAATCTTGCCTATAGGTGTTTAATTTGTTCAACATGCTCTGCTCCTACGTGTTGTTAGATAACATGTCTATAGGACATGAGTGTTTAATTCGTTCAACATACTCTGCTCCTATGTGATTTATTAGATATCATGCCTATAAGAAATAAAATGATCAATCTTTCAATTGTAGCATATTCATTAGATACTATGATCATAGGATTATATTAGCTTATGTTCTACTGATCTTCATCTAGAAATCATGTCCATAAGACTTTAATTGATTAATTTGATGTTGTTATAATACTGCTCACCTAGAAGATATGCTTATAGGGGCTAAGTATAAAAAAGTCAATTTCAATCGCTAATCATTAGAAATCCTGCTTGTATGATATTACCACTCGTTTTAAAGTGTTAATATTGAACTTTCAGACACTGTTTCGTTGCTTAGCTATGCCACCGTTAGAAAGCATACCCATAGGATCAAACTGAGTAATTTTGTGTATTTCCAATGGTTATCACTGCCAGTTACTGCGTAAATCACCTAGAGATCATATCTATTGGGTTAATCACGTAATTTATAATTTCAATAATCAACATGCAATACCAGATTCCCCTAAACTATATAGTTATTTAGAAATCATGTCTATAAGCTGACACCTTGCATCTGAAGCTGCCTGTACGAGGTCACATAGAAACCATGTCTATAGGGCTTAATGGTTTTAATTTGTCTCAATTCTAAAACTGTCTAACGCTTAATGTAAGAATTTGTTCGCGTGCATTTGTTGTCTAAGTGTGGAGGCTAACTTGAACCCTTAATTGCCTTTACATGAAGTCCAACTTGTTTTGTATGTCGCCTAGTTTTATCATTTTTGAGCAGCCTAAGTTAAGTCTAGAACCACCCAAAATAGAGGTCCAAATGCCTCTTAGGCCATATGCATGGGACGGGTAGTGCACACATAAGGCACGGTTTAGAATCAACTAGTGCGCTTAGGTAAAAACTTAAAGATAGTAATCGGGTACAGGAGATGATAGTCTATGCCCGCTGAATAATACGAGTAACTTTATGTTGCACGGAGTGATCCTTTAGGCTAAAAAACTTAGGATCCCCATTTTATCTTCAAATTAATTATTTGTGTTTATTCAAAATCTTTTAATAATGAATTTTCCCAAACTTCTTGCTTCATTTGTCTTTTTTTGTCTGATTAATTCATATAATTCGAGTTCGGTCAGGACCCACAGTTGTGGACCTCGAAGAGTGTCTAACACCTTCTCTTCAAGGTAATTTGAGCTCTTATATCTTTGGTGATGCAAACTAGTTAAATCAGAGTCATTTGCAAATAGGTGCCCTAACGCACTTTGTAGACATGTAATTTTTGACCCTCCCAAGATTTTACATATTTTAGAATTTAAACATTTAGTTTAGGCCTAATTTGCTATTTCAACTAATTTTGACTTTTTTTTTAACTTTATTTTATCACAAAAATAAAAATTACAAAAAAAAATATTTTCTTTTATTTAGGTAATTGATATTTTATCTTGTTTTAACTATCTTTCATAAATTCAAAAATACAAAAAATAGGTCCACTTTATTTTCAGGAATATTATTTTAATTTTGTAATGATTTTAATCTAACTCTATTTTCTCTTAGTATGATATTTGAAAAATACCAAAAAATAAGTTTGTTTTAACAGTTAGTTTTATTTTAATAATTATTTATACTTAAGTAGGATTAATTAGTAAATAAGGTAGTATATTTAGTCTTGTTCAATGGGAAAAAAATAAAATTTGGGCTAGACAATCCATCTTTTAGGTTCAATTTTCGGATTAGCCCATTGAGCCAAATACCCTTTACACCCCAAATTAAAACCGTTTAAAACCCCTAATTCCTACGACCTACCCTACCAGCTAACACACACAAAAGGGGCTTCATCTTCTTAACACACAAGAAGAAACGGTAGAACCCTCTAAAAAACCATTGGAGCGGCTCCTACTTCTTCACTCTTGAACACACACAGCAATGAACCAGACCCCACTCCATTCACAAAAAATCAAAAAAAAAAAAAAAAAAGCCGCACCCCCC